TTGCATAGCTGCCGGAGCTTCCGTAACTTCAGCAGCTTCCGCAGCTTCCATAGCTTCCGGAGCTTCCGTAGCTTCCGTAGTTTCCGTAGCTTCAGCAGCTTCAGCAGGCTCCGTAGCTTCCGTAGCTTCCGTAGCTTCCGCAGCTTCCATAGCTTCCATAGCTTTCGTTTTGTCTACATTTGATAGTCGTTTTCATGTCTTACATTTTCTATTTCTAAAAAAACTCGTGGATTCCTTGAGTTCTTTAAGCCAAAGAAATCAAGATCAACCGCAAAATGGGAGTTGAGCCGATTTCCTACGTGAATGCTCACCGATCTCTCTTCCTTTCATCCAATTTCAGTTCTCATCTCATTCATCTCATCCCATCTCGATCTCCTCATTGGTTGAGAGATTTGTCTCATCTTTCCCCATCATCATTTCATCAATCTTTTCCCCGACTTTGGTAATCTTTTGTGGTCGGCTCGATGAACATCAGCCAAATCCTATCACATCAGGGAAATCATTGATCTAGTGGTTAACGTTTTTTTTTTCTTTGCTGAAACTTGTACCATAAACAAAAGTTACAAAAGTTACAAAAGTTAACAGTATTATTATACTGTGCCATATTAATGTTAACTGAGTTTCTTTTTGAGTAGTCATGTATCTGTCAATGCGATCAAAAGAAGACTGAAGAGTGAACGAGAAGGGCCTTGACACCCGGAAAAATCGCATCAACGCGCCGCGATGCACCGATTTGCCCGTTTCTTTCTGTCTCATTCATACTCAACAAATCACAAAACACTCAACCAACCTCGGAGGGACCGGGGAATAAACTGTGACATGTTTCTAGACAAATAGATATTCAATTCTAGTATCTACCATTTCAAAGCTGCTTCTGCCATGACTTTGGCCACTCTTTGAAGCCACCAAATATCACAGCTCTTTCAAAAACTCTTTTTTTCATCGCTTTCTACTCCAAATGTGGCCCCATATTGAGCCGATTCGAATTTCTAAAGAAACTCACCTCCTCTAGCGGGTCTCGAGATCAGGCCACTTCACCAACTTCACGAATTTCTATAGGAATTCTTCTCAACGATCTTCTCGAGATCCTTCTCCTCACTTCGATGATTGGGCATCCCGCTGGGGTTTCTGCCAACAATTCTAGAAGAGCATGAAAAGATTTCTCCCCACTTCTTTGGCATTTCTACTTCAATCGTTTCTATTGTTATAGAGCTCAATACGTGGATTCGAGGAGAGTGTAATTGCTCGCTGAATGTCTACACCTTAGATCAATAGAAATTCTTGGAAATAGTTAGGGAACAAATTATTTGTATCTACTCCTATCGAGTACTGTAGAAGGACAAGCTATTGGGTTCGTGAATTGAAAACTGCGAGACCTTGAACTAAAACCATGAATTCATTCCAAATGATTTCCATTATTATTGACGGCTTCTGCCCATTTTACAGGCAATTTGCGGATTCCTCTTTCGTAGTAGGATTTTGGTTTGTGTGTGAGACAAGTGTGAGACTCAAAAATCGAGGACTTGGAGATGTCCCAGTTTGAGCACTTTCTTCAAAAGAAACCCATTTTGGTGTCAATAGAAAAGTTGTAGAGAATCAAAAATTAGGCTTATAGCCAAATTTCCAAAAAGATACACTTAGTAGTTTTGCTTAAAATGCAAGTTTTGTGAAAATTCGTAAATTTGGCATTTCTTGAAAACCAGTTCTTTGAACCGTTCTGAAAATTTGGATATAAGCTTGATTTTTGATTCTCTACAACTTTTCCATTGACACCAAAATGGGTTTCTTTTGAAGAAAGTGCTCAAACTGTCACATATGACAATAGCCCGCAGTTTTCAATTCACCAACCCAATATATTGTTTTTTTAAAGTTTAGTTTAAACGGTTAATTCTACAAATGATTGCGATCTTGTACTCTTGTACTTGAGTCAAGTATTGATCTCTGTAGGAATGAGGTGAAGTGTGCGCGAGAAATGGGACTCCGCTCAACAAGTGATCTCTTCTAGCTCTTAAGAGTGAAGCAGAATGATCATCTCGAATTTCATTTGGATATCATCATATTCTTGAGGACAACATCAAGTACTTCAAGGGGCATTTGGTGGTATAGATTTGTAATCAAGTTCGGTAAAAAGTCTACAATTTTGTAGCCAGCAAAGCTTAACAATGAGCTTAACAATGAGCTTAACATTCTCAAGCTCTTAAAAACCCACCCAGCTGTCCACTAATTACCTGATCTTTTGCAAGTCATTGCCCAACTTGTTACCCAACTCCGCACACTTTCCCATCTTTTCCCCATTCTCACCAATTGAGCCCAGCCGGTTGCGCAACATGGCAAAACAATGGAATGAGCTAGGAAAAGGCCATCCCATACAATCCACACAATACAAAGATAATCATCATTTTATGCCTTGACACCTTTCCTATCTTTTTTTTCTTTTCTTTTCTTTTCAATGACTCCTAGGGCTAATTGTTTGGAAGGATATTGAGTGGGAAAAGAATGGGATTATCTAGAGAGATCTGCACAGTGATAAACGATCTTGAGAACAACCGGATACGGGTTTTTCCTTTTCACAATGATTAGGGACCAAAAGAAAAATTGAAAGGCAAAACTAATGATTCTGTCTAGATCTCATCCTCATTCTCCATTCTCGTTTCCATTTTCACCCACCTTTACCCAAACTTCAGCACTATTGTCGTGCGCTTTCTCAAATTGATGGCATTTAGCGATACAAAAGTTCTCATAGACTATCCATTGATGGTTGTATGAATGAAAGAAAACGAGGTCGTTCCCCCCTTTCCTCACTCATCACCAGCACTCTATTGTGATCTGGAAAGCCAAGAGAATAGGGGATGACTCTGATTTGTATCCTATTTAGAGTAAATGATCGACATCTACAATTACTTTCCATAGATCTCACAAAGCACCTATTATTTGAGGGATTCAAGGAAATGGAGAACAAGACGATGGTAGAGAAGAGAAGAACAAGACGACGATAGAAAAGGACAAGTTATTGATGGCTAACAGCTCTTGATGGCTAACAGAGCTAACTTTGCGATCTCTTCTGACCTCTAACACTTGTCCATCTAAATCGTTTTCAACACCAGTTTTTTGTTTGCACAAGTGTCCATAATGAGCAAGAAAAAAAAACAGTGGTCAATGTGGGATCGATTTGCACGAGAAGAAGGAAAATCCATGGCTTTGGCATCCATGGATTTAGATCCATAGATTTAGATCCATAGATTTGAGTGGGTGTGATCTCTCTTCCCATATAATCTTCTCTCAAAAGCAAACAAAACGACAACTGGGATAAGTGAAGTAAAAAAGAAAGAAGATAGGCATGTACAAATATACAAAAAGAGACGCTAACCATACTGTTACGCAATCGATGAGAGTGGATAAATGAGAGGAGAACAGCTGTGGGTTGATTTCGAGCAGAGATTTTGAGCAGAGATTTTTGAGGCAATTGTATGATGTTTAGGACATTAGCTTGCTAGTTCTCATGCACTTTATAGCTTTTTAGTTTTTTAAATGCAAATTCGATAGGCCAATAAAAGAAGAACGAGAGAGAGCTCACTCTTAGAAAATAGCTTTAAAAAAACGATACCAAAAAAAGCTCCAAGTTCCAAGTTCTAAGAAAACCAAGACTTCTATAAACCTTCCTCTTCCGCAAACACTTTCTTTTTAGCCTTGATCTGTTTACCTTGTCTACAATCCTGATCTCTGCCCAAGTACCCAATTTGTGTACGGTAGGGATTGAGATTGGACACAAGATTCTTTCTACCACTAATCATCATATAAATTTGACATGACCTGGATAAACTTCCGGTAATTTGAGAGCTCAGAAGAAGTTAGACTGAGAATTTGACTGAGACTGAGAATTAACTAGGGGTTTTTTTTAAAGGTTAACGTTTAAAGGTAACTAGGGGTAACTAGGGGCTTTTTAAAGGTTAAAGTTTAAAGGTAACTAGGGGCAACTAGGGATTTTTTTTAAAAAGGTTAACGTTAACGGCAAATAAAGATTGTAAAAAAGATCATTGATAAATACAAATTGTAAAAAAGATCACTGAATGATAGATTGGAGCAACTACCGTAAGCGGTCAGAAGGTGTAAATCTTGTTATGACCAGCTGATCATTGGTACTTCACATGCAAATTCGCATGTTTCCTTTTTATGAAGGGCCACTTTTAACGATTTGCGCGAAACATTTGGCGTCAGGTCACCGGAAATGAATGGAAGAATTGGAAAAGAGAAGAGATGCTTATGATTGGCTGTGATTTGTCACACTACTTCACTTTATTTTCAACAATAAATCCATTTATAGCTTGTAAGAAGGAAAACCTCGACAACAAGTCCTTCAACAGAGTTGGAGAGTTGGAGAGTTGGAGTGATGGAGAGTTGGAGTGATGAAGAGATGGAGAGATTGAATCTCTTGTTGGGGATTAATAGTTAAATTGGCAGAAAGTAGATTTTAGATTTGACCTAAAGATTAAGGCCTTCGAAATCCCTTTTCAACATTATAATTGGATAAATTGTTTTCGCGATTAAACTTCTTTCTTTTTTAGCTTATTAAACCGCTTTACCAATCATCGTAGTTAAACTTGTAAAGTGTTTACTTTGAGGACACCTCACCTTAAATGGATAAGGAAAACGATGTGCACTACTTGAATCAACCGATACTTGACAGAAAAGGAAAGATCGACACAAGGAAATGGTCTCTTTTCTGCCACTTGACATGACCTGCTCATTTCCTTTTGCCGTTTACCTCTCTCCCTCCATCACTTCTCCAATCGACCTCAAGAACTTGTGCATCTCAATGCGGGAGTCTATTCAGTGTATTTTGGCGGGCAACGATCGCTCGCTTTTGTTAGCATTAGAACAATTATTCCAAGTGTCATTAGCGGTGTTTTTGATTTGATTGACCGTCATTGATTTAACCTTGAACTTTAGATTTAACCTATGTGGATAATTGAAACAATACAACCGATAGTTGGATGATTTCAAAAACAGCGAGCGTCTCTAACACGAGCGAGCTCTAACAAAAGCGAGCGATCGTTGCCCACCAAAATACACTGAATAGACTCCCGCATTGAGATGCACAAGTTCTTGAGGTCGATTGGAGAAGTGATGCAGGGAGAGAGGTAAACGGCAAACGGGATCTCAAAGTGTATCGTCTTTTGTGTTCGGTGTAATCTTTTCTGGCACAAGGATTTAGTACCTGAAAGGGTGTGTTTTTTGGGTGCAAGCATGCAAAAAAAAGAAGTCTGTCACACTTGATCTACCCTAATCCTTATCCTTCTGTACCAAAACATTTTCAAATCCGCTCATCGTTAGATGAAAGGCAAAAGAAATCTGAGCACATTTGTCTTCTAATCAAAGACTTGAAAAAGCCAAGAAAAGCCAACATTCTGGGTCACTTAGCCAAAAAAAAGAGCTGTAATTATTGAGCGGCCCGAAAAAAAGACAGTAATACGGTATTCACACTCATCTCGCTCATTCACATATTATTCTTTTACTCTTGTTAATGCTTGATTCTTTGAGAAAACCACCTGTCGATTAGAGAGAAAATTGGACAAATGAGAAAAGGGGAATGACCTCTGTTCTCTGAAAAGAAAAAGAATATGGGTAAAGCACCTGTTGAAGAGAAATATTCAAATGAGGGGCTATAGAAGATTAAGGAAGATTTGTTTTATTAAAATTTGTTTTTTTGTACTTGTTGATGAGCTTTTTGTGGATGTATCTTCTACTTTTGTGATGCTTAACCGATCTCCATAAGTGATCAACAAGTCGAGAACAACACCATTCGTCCAGCCAAAGTTTTAGCGTTTTTTTTTTGGTCATTTTGTATGGGAAATTTTGTGGTATCCTGCAGTTTGGAGCTCGTAACTCGACAACAATGGTCTAGAACCAAAAACGAAGGGATAAGTTTTGTTTTAAAGACTCTTACGAACATTTTGATGCAAAAATCATCAAATTTGCTCAACTCTACAAAAAGTTATAACATTTTTTAAAAAAGAAATGAGAAAATTTAAAAAATTCTCGATTGCACAATTGTTTTGTTCAAAAGAACAATGTAGCTATGTATCGTATTCACTCGAAAAAATTAAGGAATATGCAAAATAATAGCTCAAGTGCGCGGGAGAGCCGAACCAACAACCTTGGCGCGAGATTCACGTCGCGCGCCTTAGACCACTCGGCCACGGTTTCCCCAACAAGGGTCTAGAATCAAAAACGAAGTGATAAGTAGATAGATGAGTATATAGCCGGCTATAGAAGATTAAGGAAGATTTGTTTTATTAAAACTTTATTCTATACCATTCATTGCACAGAAAGGAAAAGATAAACAAAAGAAATAAAAAATAAACTCAAAGAAGTACTTATTGATGAGCTTTTTGTGGATGTATCTGTTTTAGTGATGCTTAACCGATCTCCATAAGTGATCAACAAGTCGAGAACAACACCATTCGTCCAGCCAAAGCCCACCTAAAAGTTTTTACTTTAAGTGATAAGAATCAAAATCAAATCAAAATCAGATCAAAATCAAATCAAAAGAGTTTTACTATAAGTTTTGTTTTTCAATTGCTTTTTAGTTTTAGTTTATATGCTGAACAGTTCGTTTTATCTATCTAATGACTGTAATTTTACCTGAACATCGTAAAGGCCACCGTGTCCAGGCTCAGGAATCACACCAGAGATGTCATACTAAAAACTCTCTGCTAAATAACTAGACACTTTTTTTTGATAGATTTACCAAAAGCTTTTACTCTTGCATAGTATTGTTTCTGTTATTGTTTTCCAAAAGTTTCTGTGCAATTTCTTAGTTTCTTCAATTTCTGAACATATTTATCCTTTCTTTTCAGTAAAATTTGATAAATATCCAATTGATATTTAACCTTGATCATCTTATTTACAAAAAACACAATCTTTCCCCAATTCTCTTGCGTGAAAACATCGATAACTCTGCCTCTAATCTGTCTAATCGGTCTAATAGGTCGACCAGGGGAATGTGAGTGACTGAATTGAGTCTTGCCCTTGACGCGATCCATTAGCACTCGTTCACCGCAAGAAAATCGACAAGGATACGGTATGAAATGGCTTCATTTAGAGAGTCTCCTTTCACCAGATTAATGGTGAGTCTCTGATCGGCGATGAATACAGTAGACAAGACAAGACAACGATTAGGGAGAGGGTCAGCGGTTTCAGCAAAAAAGATTTCCTTTTTCAATCCCGAGATCGGTGAGAAATGAGGGAACACCAAGTGATACGACCTCGACTTGAGAGGGGACACTCCACAAAATGGATACAAAATGGATACAAAATGGATGGGTGATCGCAAGAACCCGATAAATTGTAAATTTCAATTTTAGGGATTGAGTAGAAATCGGGAAAACAGTGGCTCAAGCAATAGTTAAGTAAATAAGTTCAAACTAACTTTTTCCCACATAGCTTTTGTCTTCATCCACGTCAAATAGTTGCCGATCACCCATTTCTCAGCCAATAAGAACGCCTAAATCAAAAGAATTACAACCAAATCACCTAAACATGGTAATGTTTACTTTTTCACTTAAAACAAACCGCTTGTTGTGCTTCGGGATCAGACGATTTCCTGAAACCCTCAATGACAATATGCTCGAGTGGAGACCATCCATTGGGGAAATCCCATTGCTCACCCGAGGGCTAGAATTGTTAAGGATTGCAAAGAGGGGTGGAAAACTTTATGAATAAATTAATGTGTTTACTTGCGACTAGCTTAATAAGGAAGAAAGTAGTGAAGGAATTGGCAAGAAAAAGTAGATTTCCGGAGAGGGGATTGAACCCCCGACCTGCTCTAACCATTGAGCAGGTAGTTTCCAGTCAGTTGCTCTAACCACTGAGCAGACAGTTTCCAGTCAGTTGCTCTAACCACTGAGCTATTCAGTTCCTTAACTTCCCAAGAGAAAGAGGGAAAGACAAAGGGAAAGGGAAAGGATAAGCTCAGTTCACAGAACTCACCACCATCGATGTCGGCACTCCTTCCGGGAAATTCAAAACCGATTGATTCTAAAGCTTTTTTTGAACACTGATTTCATCTTATTACAATAAATTTCTCTATAATTTCTTTAAGATTTTCCAAACCAGCATATATTTGTAGACTCCATTCGGGAGATTCCCATTGAACAAATCATAAGCCTCGGCGAAGAGTGGAGCTGCTGTAGAGGCATAGAAGAATTTATCGTTTCTTCTAAATTAACTCAAATTACAAAATCTAGCTTAAGATGATTATTTATTAACTAACCTTTTCGTATCTAAATGATAATCAAAGAAAGCTTTCTGTTCTTTATCATAAAAGACAGCTTTAATCGCATCTCTCATCCTTGCCGCTCTCTCCTCGTACAACTTCATTTTCTCAGTGTTACCTGAATATGTTAATCATCATAAAGTAAACTTTCTACAATTCGTATAGTTTTATACTTTTTTTTTTTTCAATATATACAGTAGCGGACATAATTTTGGAAACTTTTGTTTTTTCTAAAAAAATTTTCTTAGTAAAATCTGATTCGGTATGTTTACTAGCGAAACTAGAACTTTTTGCAAAACTATTTCTTTTTAATGCATTTATCTATAAACCTAGAGGACATAAACTTGGAAACTTTTATAAAAACCTTAAAATAATTAGTTAAAATAATTAGTAGAGGTTTAAAAAGATAAAAATAGAACAAAAAAGTAAGTAAACTTGAGGTTTTTATAAAAGTTTCCAAGTTTATGTCCTCTAGGTTTATAGATAAATGCATTAAAAAGAAATAGTTTTCAAAAAGTTCAGCAGTTCTGTTCAGCTCAGTTCAGTTCAGCAGTTCAGCAGCAGCAGTTCTGTCTATGGATTATTACGTGCTTTTTAGGTCTACATATTTTCGCTAGTAAACATACCGACTCAGATTTTACTAAGAAAATTTTTTTAGTAAAAACAAAAGTTTCCAAAATTATGTCCGCTACTGTAACTCACCAATTTCTCTATAGAAATATCCAAGAAGTTTGAGATTCCAGTGAATAAACGAGTTCAAATCGACGGGAACAATCTAAAACAAAAATCTAAAACAAAAATCTAAAACAAAAATCTTATTTTTTCAGATAAAGTAAAGATTTCTTAGCAAGATTTCACAGCAAGTTCTCTCAGTTTTACCTCAGTTGTCTTAATGGTGTCCATTGAAATAGAATTGTTGTACCAACGTGTCGAGAAATCCCAACCCGATTCAGCGGTAGCGGCAACGTTCTGGAAATGAAGGCTTTGCTAAAATCAGCTAAAATCTAGCTAAAATCAAACAAATTTCTCAGATTATACAGCCAAAAATGATAAATTTCAATGCAAAAACGAAAAAAAATCAGCTTCCTTTCACCTGATAATAATTTTGTTTGTCCTTTTCCCCATTCATTTTCAGTGTCGCCGTGTAATCGTGAAGATATCCCTCTGGACGGGGAGTGTTGCTCGTCGGTCGATACTGATACAACATATACGATTGATTATCCAAAATCACTGACACCTGAAATTTCACCCTAGAATTCGTATCTAGAACACAAAAACATTTCTATTATCATCCCAGAACTTGAGCTCTTTCTCCAATGTTTCAATGCTATCAGTGAGAAATTTGAGATCACCCGTTTTCTGATAATACTCAAACATCATTCCTGTCAAGAGGGGAGGTTGTGATCTAAAAAAAAAGATTTCATAAAGCTAAAGCTCATAAAGCTAAGGATATTGTCATGATTTCACCTCTGCAAGTAATACAACCGGCCTCCATTTGGCACAAAACCGTTTTGTTCAACCATGTACAAGAGATTAGCGATCATGTTCTTTGCCGTCTGTTTCATGTCACTGGCCAAGAGACCCTAAAGCTTATGCTTATCAAAAAAAACTTGATGCAAGAGCTTTTCTATTAGGTTGGCGACATTGAAATTTCGTTTGCGTTTCTCTTTATGGATTTTAACACTGTGGATACTATTACCACCGCAATCTCTTCTGTTTTAAAGATATAATTATTGTGCTTTATTACGCGTCTTTTCTTTATTTCTAGTTGAAGAATTTTAATAAAAAAAACTTATAGATGCTAGATGACCTCAAAATATCGACTTCGCATTTGTTGCTGTACGATTTCAAACATGAAAAAACAGCAACTGAATCGCATGAATCACTTTGTAACGTATTTGAGAAAGATGTTATCACTGTTCATCAATGTCAAAACTGGTTCAAAAGATTTCGAATGGGTGACGGAAGTCTGGAAGATCTGGGACGAGGACAAACGACGATTTGAAGCAGATAATCGAAAGTGACCCGATAAAGACTACTTATGAACTTGCGGAATATTTTAATTGTGATCATAAAACAACCGAAAACCATTTGCATGAATTGGGCAAGCTCAATAAAGCTGGAAAATGGATTCCACATTCACTAAGCGATGCAAGCAAAGCCATCAGAGTTCTTTGTTCGGGAAATTTGCTTAGAATTTCCAAGAATAGTGGATTTTGGGATTCAATTTTAACTGCTGATGAGAAATGGATTCATTATGACAATATTACAAGGAAAAGACATAGGCTTGACCCGGGTGAAATTCCAAAGACAATACCTAAACCGGATTTTCAGGGAAAGAAAGTTATGCTGTCGGTTTGGTGGAATACCCGAGGCCTGGTTCATTTCGAAGTGTTAATTTCTGGTCAGACTGTTGATGCAAATCTTTACGTTCAACAACTAGATCGCGTGAACGCGGTTCTTCGCTCAAAAGGACTTGATCCGACAACAGTGCGATTGTTACACAACAATGCTCGTCCTCACGTTGCCAAAATTACGCAAGAGAAGATTGAGCAATGGGGCTGGGAACTTTTAGTTCGTCCGCCTTATAGTCCAGATATTGCCCCGTCTGACTACCATTTCTTTCGAAGTATTCGGCATTCACTCGAAAGCCACAAGTTCCAGAACATTGACGACATCAAAAAATGGGTCTCTGCTTTCTTTCAATCAAAACCAGCACAATTCTTTCAAGAGAGTATCCATAATTTGCGTTGAAGAAGGAAAAAATGTTATTGATAGCTGTGGGGAATAGATTCTTGATTAATTGTTTCTAGTTTATTTTTACGAATAAACTTGTTGCTGCAAAAAAACGAAATTTCAATGTCGCCAACCTAATAGATCTAAGATTACTAAACTTATTGCTTACACGGAACGTTTGATCAAAATTGTGATCACCGCTGTTCTAAGGGTCTTTCTTTAGACTCTTTTAGACTTTAGATTTAGAATAGATCCAAAAAACGGGTCAATTTTTGAAACTCCGGTATTCTATACAAAAAAAAGATAACCTTGACAATCCAGTAGGCGTCCCAATAGTAGAATTCCCTGAATCGGCCGCCTGGGATGATAAACTGATTCGGCACATAGAGAAGAGAGAAACGATCCGGCTCATTTTTCACCTCATCTTTCATCTAGAAATCTCAAACTATAGAGAACTGGATTCCTTATTCAAATTCAATGAATGAAATCTTTCTAATCAACTCACTTGTCGACAAAGCGTTTTCCAAACATCGTTCAAATCATTGGCAAACTTTCGAAGATCCGGATCGTGAATCTTCTGAAAGTTTGGCGGATTCTCTTTCCAATCCTCTGGCTCACAAGTGTCCATTTCTGTGCCCGGTTCTCTAAATCAATTTTCTTAAATTATTAAAACAAAAACTATATTATAGGACAATTAGAATTTAGATTTAGAATGCTTACGAGAAATATTCTTCAATAAAATCCTTCAATGCATCAATTGGGAGAGCATTTTCTGGAACGTTCCCAAAAGCTTTCTGGTAAGCGGCATTTGTCTCATCTGGGATTTGAATATGAAAGTTTTTTTAAAAGCACTTTTTATCAAATCATACCAGGTGTTTTCTTTAAAGGCATATCCACAAAATATTTCGAATCATTGTGTCCTAAAGCAGCCTGATTGTATTGAGCGGCTCTCAGGATTGGACCCGAACAATAGATAAACCTTGAAAATCATTTTTAACAAGCAGATTTTTAACAAACAGATTCTCTCTCAAAAAAAACTCACCAATTTTTCTTTCCTCCATTATTTTTCTCATCACACATATAAATATCGTCATTTTGACTCAAAAAACCATTCAAAAATAATAGAAAAATTGAATTCAATAATAAATTATACTTCATTGAAACTAAATTTTCTTATTTATTCGTTGATACAGTACTGGAGAATGAAATATCATATTTGAAAAACGATTTTGTGTGTTCCATTTGCTTTACTTTCCTTTACTTACAAGCTTTCTAGTTTTCTATTTACTCATCGAATTATCCAATGTTATTGTTTTTCTTGTTTCAATTTGATTCCCTTAAATCACTACTGGACAATAAAATATGATATTTGAAAAACGATCGTCACTTTCGCGCGCCTGTAACTCCCTTGTCTTTGAGTTTAAACTATTAGTGTTATACATTTTCTGAAAGCTCTTTTCAAGGGCTACACAATGGCAATATTAATATTTAGAAATACGGTAAAGACAAGGGAGTTACAGACGCGCGAAAGTGAGGTTCTTTTTTCAAATATCATATTTCATTGTCCAGTAGTGTATTTAAGGGAATCAAATTGAAACAAGAAAAACAATAACATTGGAGAATTCGATGAGTAAATAGAAAACTAGAAAACTTGTAAGTAAAAGCAAAGTAAAGCAAATGGAACACAGAAAAAGTCTCGAGACATGTAAACAGATTCGTCTTATTCGTGTCTAGGTTTATAAGTATTTTTTTGCATTTGGGAGCCTTGCAATGTCAGAAAACTTTCATTCAGTTAATGATCAAAAGGAAATCAAGTGAGAATTGGGAAAGATTATGAAAATTTCTAAACAAGAAGCAGTAGAGTCAATTTTGTGAGACTTTCGACTTTCAAACAATCACCATTGTTTGAAATGAATGAAATTTCTTACAGTCTCACAGGAATTTATCAAAGAACCTCCAAATTTGCGTCGATCAAAATTCCGATCTTTAATCCTCTTATGGAAAAATCTGATGAATCAAACGGTTCAAGAAAGAATTACCGAAAAAATAAAGAGACTTATCGAATTCATTTTAAAGCTTTTTCTATTTTCAGGCTCAAAAATCAGGAGTTCTCATTGTCAGATTTTATTCTCTCATTTAAAAATCCTATGGCTTTTCGGGAGACTATTTGAGATAAGAAGAGAAACGAAAATGAAGAATTTAGCACAGATTTTTTCATTAGATCATTGGAACTAAGGTTTAGAGAACTTTTGAAAGCTTCAGTTTAATTAGAAATTTCAAAAGAACATTTAAATTTAGGTAAAATTTGAAACCATTAGCTTTTTATGACAACAAATTCCCGAACGATTGTTGGACAAACGATTGTTGTTCATTTTTGGTTGAGTAAAGGTTATGATTCGACAAAAAGGATCCTTTTCGATGAATGATCACTCTTTTAAACGTTTCATTTCACAAAACATTATTTGAATTGGTTGTTTTCGTTTCGATTTTCTCGTTTTACTTGATTGTTATGTTTTGGGGAAATTGAGTGGACCTCTTTTTGAGTCAGGCTGATCTGATCGCCGTTTTGATCTTCAATTTTATCGGAAAATGAGTCAAAAACATTGAAAATCACTCCGAAATAGCTTAAAAAATACTAAAGACTAGATTTTAGTCTTTAAAAGTTTAAAAAATTGTTTTAAAAGTTTTACAAATCAACGTTGCCTTACTTTTTCCCAAAATAATATCAAACTATTAGTCATCCATTCAAATATAGTACAATTGAATGCTGAAAAACTGGAAAACACGCAAATATTCGCCAAATATTCTAACAAAAACAACGAAAACCATCTTGAAACCATACAAGTTGTAAATTTCAACACACTTTCAACAAAGGCCACAACTAATTGTAAGATGGTTTGGGGAGTTGAATGGAAACAACGAAAGCAAAGCTCATTTCCTGCACTATTACAAAACTGAATTGCTATTTTCTTGAGGTTCAAAGGGGAAAAGTCGATTTGTTGACTTTTTTTGTCAACAAATCGACTTGCTTTGCTTTCGTTGTTTCCATTCAACTCCGCAAACCATCTTACAATTAGTTTTGGCCTTCATTGTGGTCCGGCTACGAAAGGTTCCGATTTCTCCACTTGGATCCAAAATGGAAATAGATTTCTTTCTCATTTCAAAGGGAAACAGAAAATTTATCGCTTAAAACAATAATTTGAATTAATCTGACAAAAACAAAATGATTTGCAAAAGAAAAAGAAACGACGACGCGGTGCGACTCCCATTGACTACCTCCAAATGGCGGCGACGTCAATTGGAATGCGACGTTGGGCGAAAATTAACAGCATGTCTCGCAAAACACATTTTTCTCTCTGAAGGTGATTCTCTACTATTCATTAAGTTATAGAATTCTGATTTTTGATATGATTTGATTTTTAGATTCAAATTTATCTAAAAAAAGTAAAATCAGTAAACGATCAATAAATCTCTTCAAAGTTATTCCGTGAATTCCGATGATTCATCAAGTCCATTTCGGCGTTCTCTTGTGGCGTTTCCATATACTAAATTTTGATGTTTTATGGAAATTTTCAATGTGAACTTGTAATTTCTAATAGATTCGATAATTTCTAATTTCTAATTCGATAAAATTGTAATTTGTTTTTCGTTCACCTTGCTAGCAAAGCTGAACTCTTGTTTCGCGTAGTAGTTGGGCTCGAGAGACAAGGCCGGATCGTCGACCTGGTTCCACAAACGGATTCTCAGCACCAAGCCTGCAAGAATAGAATTGTATTTGATTTAAGATTTGCTATTTTATTTTAATTATTTTAATTATTTTAATAAAATTTTAAGAAACCCGTCAGAAGTCCGCCCAAAATCGCGGCCACTAACGCGACGATCATTCCCGCCAATTGGTAGAGAGCTTGCGAGTAGGCATCTCGGTCACCTTGAAGCTCTCCGCCAGCAAAATATGGATAAATATGGTAGATTCTAAAAAAATGGGAAACATTATAGATGTTCAAGTTGTTGAAAATAGAAGTACCCGTTCTTTTCATAGTTATCCTTGTAAGCATAGAGAAGCGCGACGAGAATACTGATGATTCCAGAGAGAAGACCCGGCAATCCGTGCAAATTGTGGACACCACATGTGTCGTAGATATTGAAACGTTTCTCTAATCGCTTCTAAAATAGTTATTGTTATAAGTTTGGGCTTAAAACCGTACACTCAATACAGCGTGCCCAAAGACGGAGATTATCCCTGCGATCATACCGACAACCACTGCGTGATACGGGTAGACGATTGCGTTTGCTGCCGAGCCTCAAATCTTCTCACTATTTTCTATCCAAACATAAGACATTTAAAACCAGTTTTAATATTATTTTCCAGAAAAATCATTGACCTTTCTAATGAAATTCTAGTTCAATTTGTTGGTTTTAAACGGTTTTAAACGAAAGAATGAAAAAGAACGAAAAGATTTCTGGATAGCCTAATAGTTATCAAAATCTTAAAATCAATAAACTAACCAATAGCCACTCCACCAGCTAGAGTTGAACTCTGAATGTGAATCATGTTGAAACGACCGAGATGATCGGTGAGAGAAGAGATCAAAAAGGTCGAGATTGTACATGAAGCCATTGCCAGGTAGGTGTTGACAATTGCACTAAAGATTAACTACTCTAAATCTACAGTTTCCAATTCTACCGATGCCTCGCATCAGCCGGTTCTTGAATAGCCGCGTTCATCGTTGGGAAGAATATCCATAGAAACATCGTTCCTGCAAAAGATCAAAATCTTTTGAATGTTTTGAATAATTTCTACCGATCATCGAGAAAAGATCCGAGTGATAAATCGATCCCTCGGCATCCATTTCCATCACATTTCTCTTGTTTCCAACAACCGCCGCAGCAAGACCAAAATAGGCACCAAATACGTGCATTACAAGGGAACGCCCGCCATCGTTTACCTAAACGGTTTTGCTCACACCGATCCTTATATGGGTTGGAGCAGAGAATCCAAAAAATGCCCGCCGCCGGGAGCTGAACCTTCGATCTCTCGCTTACCGGGCCAAAGCTCTAGTATAGCTCGAAGGGGCAGTATAGCTCGAAAGCTACACTGCACCTATCCCATCACCGCTAGAATAAGGTCTTATCCTTTACTCACCTTTTATATTCCTCTAGATAACTTACATGAAGAATATTGAACAGCACATGCTCAACCATCACCGAAACAGTCGTCTCACAAAATGCGAGCAAAAGAAATTGTACAGGCGTCAAACGACCTAGCAACACACCCATTGTAATCAAAACAGCAACACAAGAGATATCCGCTGCAACCATTCTAAAATTAGTTTTATTCTAGTAAACAACTAATTCTTACTCATTGATAGACACTCGAAAAGTGCCACTATCGTGAAAAGATTGAGTCAAAAATCCACGCAACAACATTGCATATTGAGTGACAAAAGAAGTGAGCAAGAGATTTACGGAAACTGCTGAGAAACCATATCTAAATATCTTTAGTGTTTTATAAATCTTTATAGAGTTTTGTTTTCTCTTCTCACCTCTTCAAAAAAGCCATGAGAAAACCAAATCCAACGTGAACCATTACATGAATATCTTGAAAAACTGAAATTGAAAATTTTGCCTCAAATTTGTGTCCTTGGGTACCTTACGGGGGAAATCCGTATTCACGAAAACTCGCTTCACATTGCTACCATTGCTACCATCACTAAAAACTACTAAAAGGTAGATATAAATGAAATTACCTCTCATTCATCATCAAATCTCGTTCAGCATCTGTATCAAAACGGGCAAATAAATAGAATAAAAAGATAAAGAATAGCTGAAAAAATAAAGAAACAAGAGCGAATTGACGACGCTGGAGAATGGAGGTCATCTGGGATTTAAAGCATTGATACTAATTGATAATTTTCAAGTTCTTTCAATGATACTGGAAGAACCTACCACTGATTTCAACCTACCACTGATTTCCTTTGATTCTCTACGGCAAGTGATGACAATGATGGCATAAAACTATCGATACTCTTGAAATTTCATGAAGTAAACAGAAAAGTCAAACAATTAGGTTATTAGCAAGTGAAGTGACCCTTTTGTACGTCTTTTCGTAATCTTTTTTTCGAGAAAAGAGATATCAATCAATCAATATCTTTAGCAAAAGAGATATGGACATCAATTTCCTTTCATAGATATCCAAAATGGAGAAAAGGGAAAGGTCAAAAAGGGGCAAGAGTAACGCCTCTTGCAGATGGTTTCAAGAATGGGTTAATTTGTGACCAATTTTTGACTAAAATGACCAAACATTCCTCTCGATTAACACGCTTTTCTAAAATGCATCTATTTGAGAATACCGTAGTCAAAATTCCATCCGATAGCTTCATTTTCATATCATTCAATGAGGAATCACAAGGCTCAGTTAATAAGATAAAAATCGAGCTGATCTAATGAAAACTAACGGTTTAACTACGGTACTTTTCTCAAATAGACGCATTTCAACGCGCTACTTGAGAGGAAAACTCTCGACAGGCTACATTTTTGGAACTTTTTTTTGGAAAAGTTGCTGGCAAACACCTGACTCATTATCAAAGTGCCAAGTGTTAAAGAGAAAAATAAAGCCCTGCATCTTGGCATCATTTATCTACAAAGAACTTCCCGATTGGAATTATACAACTCATTCTACAAGCTCTTGAATGAGCTCAAGTCGGCCTCTCTCCGGCGATCTGCCATTTTTGATACTTTTTGATACACAATATTTTCATTGGGATTCCTTTAAACAAACTTGTGATATTTTACTTTAAAAGTACCATTCAACAAACAAATAAAAAAGAAAAGCTGATACAGCAAGATCTTGTTGTCAAATGTTACGGGTCTTATTTTACCTTCGTAAAATACAGTAAAGATAGCGCCATGAATAGTCCGAACACTCACAAGTCTTTTTGTGCTCGCTCGCTCACAATGCTAATCCTTTTTTTTGTTTTTTAGTTATTAGATAAATGCATAAAAAATGCGGATGAACTTTGATAGCTTTTATCTTATCATGTTCAACATTCGAAAAAGCTCAATTTTCCCTTTTTTTTGCAGAGTTTCCAAATGAATCTATAAACCAATTCTAATTTTACTTTAAAAGTACCAACTCCAAAGCTTGACAAAAGAGTTTGCTTGACAATTCTTATTGCTATTAAATGATATTAAATGTTATATTTTTTTTTTGTTGAATGATGCTTTTAAAGTAAAATACCACAAGTTTGTTTGAAGGAATCCCTTTCTAAATATTGTGTATTAAAAAGTGTCAAAAATGGCAGATCACCGGAGAGAGGCTGAATTGAGTTCATTCAAGAGCTTCTAAAATGAGTTGTGTAATTCTAAGAATTTTTATAATGAGTTGTATACCGTATTTTCTCCCGTAATAGTAGTGCACCCTGAGCGTCGCCTAAATTGCTCGAAATCTCGAAAAGCGCTTATCAGAACCTATCGATGTGGGGTCGGAAAATGTAGCTGACGATGAGATCTAGTGGGGGATTTGAGTGTTCAGCTTCTGCAAAAGCTTGGAAACCGTAAAATAGTCACCACCTCGGCTCGCTGGGGTGCACTACTATTAGAGAAAATACGGTAATTCCAGTCATTCCAATTCCATAAGTTAATGCACATTTATCAAAATCACTGCTATATTAGAATAACCCGGCTTGGTGTAATAAGCTTTCAATCCTTCAAAGCTTTCAAATTCACAAAAGAATCGCTTGATAACTGTGAGCTTGATCTCTGAAAACCTTATAATTTTGTGTTTCTTTTAGCCAAAAGAAAACGTCCCAAAGATCTGCAAGCTGTAGACTAAATCACAAATCTGTATCCTATAGCAATATTCAAAAGAAAAAAAGTCTATCATTTCACGGAATTTCATAAAGTTTACACCGTCACATCGCTAATTTCAAATTTTCATTTGTTTCATTTGTTCAAGTGCAAGAAAAATGACTGTTGAACGACTAATTAAAGCGTTACCTCAAAATGTGTTTCCGCGAGAATAATCAACAAATCAAAAGCTAAAAGAGAGAGAAAAAAAGGGAAATTCCCAGGTGATTTTCCCAAGTAATTCTCTTTGCAAAATGTGATTAATTAACCTCGGCAAAAAGTTTTGCGCAAAAAAAATTTTTGGTCTCTTTAATATTTGGAGTTTGTTGGGTGATTTCGAGTACAAAAAGAGTGATTTTACAAAAACAAACATCACTGTCCATTTTTCAATTCAATCATTTGTCATTTCAAAGATGAAGATGAACTTTCATATTGCCCTATTGAACAATTGAATGGAGATTATCGGCGATAATCCATCAACACCCACGAGATTTTCTCAACTCAAAAAGAAAATCAATGAGACTTCGAATTTTCTTTCTTTCTTGGAATACTTGAGACATTCTTGGGACTTTGCCCTGGCCTTCAAGTCATTTTCAAGTCATTTCTAAGAATTTTCTCCTTTTCGTACTTGATCTTGTTGAAATGTTAAATTATGCCTAATTAAAGTATAAGGGTTTCAACAATCTTCGAGTTTATCCCTTTTTTTTCTTGACTTTTGGTTTCCTTTTGTTTCTGTACTTGGGACATGATTCAAGATGTACTTTGCTTAGGTTTGACCAATCTTGAGTGGCTGGGCTGAGCTTGGCCAAAAGCCAACAATGTTTTAATCACTAGGCTATAACCCTCAAAATGACCCAATCAGCTCTGCCATGGCCTTGTTTAAACTAAGAAATCTCTTAAAATAAACCTTTTTAAAGTTATAAGAACTTTTTTGAAGTGTTTCTTGTGCTTTAAACCGTTTTGAGGAAGGTACCTACCGTAAATACTGTAATAGTACCCCACCCCCCTTTCGTACAGTCGCGTAGTCGCAAAAGTTTTTTAGTATTTCATTTTTTCAAAGCGCCCGTACTTTCAAAGAATGTGTCTTTGGTATGAAAAAATAGCTGAAATTCAGGGCTATTTTTTGATACCTAAGAGCGCATTGTAGCGTAAACAAGTGTCGAGAAAAGCGCGTCCAAAGCTAGACTACGCAACACTCCGCACCATCACTGTTGGGGTGGGGTACTATTACGGTATTTACGGTAGCTTACAGATATCAATAAAAGAAAATTGACTATTCTAAATATTCTAGCTTTACTTATGAGGAGAGACTTGCTTTTTTTGAACTAAAAACTTTACAGCATCGTCGCTTTGTCATTGATTTAGTCGAAACTTTCAAAATCCTCCGTTGTAAACAGATTAGCCCTTTGTTTATAGACTTTTTCAAATTTAAACCGCGGTCAGGGCCCAGAAGTGGCTCATTCCTTTTGCAAATTCCCTTTGCTTCCAATGCCTCTTTATCAAATTCATTTCCCGTTAGAGCCGCTAGATTATGGAACTTGCTCCCAAACGACATACGAGAAATTCAGTCGCTTTTCATATTCAAGAAACGTATCGATGCTTTAGATCTAGTGGCTCTTTGCCGTCAGTAATTGGCTTATTGATTTCAGTATGTATTGTATGATTAAGTATCACTGTGCATTTCTCTATGATTTCTTTCACTTTATCGTTTGAATAAAGTATTATTATTATTTTTTGATACCTAAGAGCGCATTGTAGCGTAAACAAGTGTCGAGAAAAGCGCGTCCAAAGCTAGACTACGCAACACTCCGCACCATCACTGTTGGGGTGGGGTACTATTACGGTATTTACGGTAGCTTACAGATATCAATAAAACTGAAAAATTTCACCCAGATTCAGTTTATTTAAAGCCCGATGGAGCTTTTCTTTTAAAGCTAACTTTTTATACAAAACTATTCCAGTATTTGAATAAAATTCAGCCTTTAATCTCTAAACTTTATGGCTTCACCAACCGTCCAGCTCTGATAAATTTTTGCAAGTAACTGACGTGAATTGAAAAAAGCAAAAAGAAAAACTATAAACTATTCAAAGATCTATTTTCTGTTTTCTCTGTTCTCATTTTTTCTCCACCAGACCGTTTCTTTTTCTCTGTAAGCCTGAAAAAAGTTCACCGTCGTCTGTTCACTTTTTCATAGATCTATGTCGAATTTTCTCTTCTCCAATATTTCTATTCTTTTTCATTTTCTTTCATTTTCTTTCATTTCTCCCTATTTTCCTTATTTTTCCTCATTTTTCTTATTTTCTCTCATTGCCTGTAAACTTTTTTTTGTCGATAATCTCTGAGTGAGAGAGGGAGAGAGAAGTCGGACAGAAGACTCCCTATTTGCTCACTCCGTTTCCCTCTCTTTTCCCTTGCCAAATACATGTGATTTTCGCTCAAACCTTTAATAATATCGTTTCAGTTTATTGGTTTTTTTTCAATTCTTGATTTTTGTTTTGTAAAAGTTGATCGTTTTCAATTAATTAATCCTTGTACTAATTAAAAAATGTCAAATTTTCCTGTTTATTGCAAAATATAAGTCATAGAAAGCTTAAAAAGTCATAAAAAGCTTAAAAGCTTAATTAAATTAAAAAAAAAATATATTATCTAACTCTAAATCAATTTTTAATCCAATTCATAGATTTTTTTGACAATTCTAAGATCAAAATGTACTTGGAAATTGTTCAAATCTTCAAATTCAAATTCAAATTCAAATTTCCAAGTAATTCGCTCATTCTTTCTCGAAATTTTGTAACAACTTTTGATCTTTGTGCAAATGCTTAAAGAAATTCTGTCTGACGATGAATAACTCATGCTCTCTCATCTCTTTCCATCTATTAAAAATACCGACTGGGGCTACCAGTGGTGAATTTATCGCATACACGAAATATATCAATCACAATACAACGACACACACAATACTAGGCTATATCTTAACTTAACCCACGTCATGACAGACGGCTCCCTAACCCTAAGCTCAATGGGGAACTAAATAGCTTTTTTGGTGGTGAAGGGAAGATGACGATGAAGGAGTGGCTTGTCACTTTAAAGAACTGGGGCCACAACCACCAGACTGCCCTCCAGAAAAACCTCTCAACCCGAAGGGAAAGGAAATCCGAAGGGGGTGACCATGTCGCATGTGGGGTTCGAACCCTCGACCTTCCGATTAAGATAAAAGACACTTAACCAGTCAGCCACACGTGCTCTATTGTCTAGCCACATTTCTTTTCTTTCATCTTTTCTTTTTCAATAACAATTTTTTTTAAGTAATTTTCAACTCTCTTTTCTCAAATCAAACTCAAAAATGAGTCAGCACTTTTTTTATGAAAATTTATGTTCTTTTTTTTATTAAAGTTTAGTGAAACTGAATTGCCAAAAGCAAATATCCGGTCATTTCATTCAGTTTGTTCAAATATCTAAATTGAATTTTAAAAGTTAATAAATAAACACGTGAATTTATTAACATTAGCTATTTTTGCAAAATGAATAAAAATAATCGGAAAGGTTTTTGTCAAACTAATGTCAAACTAAGAAATTACCGTAAATACTTGTAGTGTAATTGGCTTATTGATTTCAGTATGTATTGTATGATTAAGTATCACTGTGCATTTCTCTATGATTTCTTTCACTTTATCGTTTGAATAAAGTATTATTATTACTGTAATAGTACCCCACCCCTCCCTCGTACACTCGCGTAGTCGCAAAAGTTTTTAAGTATTTCATTTTTTTCAAAGCGCCCGTACTTCAAAAAATGTGTCTTTGGTATCAAAAAATAGCTGAAATTCAGGTCTATTTTTTGATAACTAAGCGCGCATTGTAGCATAAACCAGTGTCAAGAAAAACTCGTTCAAAGCCAGACTACACAACACTCCGCACCATCACTATTCGGGTGGGGTACTATTACAGTATTTACGGTAGCTTAGGCTAACTTTTTATACAAAACTACTCCAGTATTTTACAGATATCAATAAAACTGAAGAATTTCACCCAGATTCAGTTTATTTAAAGCCTAATAGAGCTTTTCTTTTAAAGCTAACTTTTTATACAAAACTACTCCAGTATTTGAATAAAATTCAGCCTTTAATCTGGGGTGGGGTACTATTACAGTATTTACGGTATGTGGTTTTTATGAAAATCTTTGTTTTCTTATAGTTTTGAGCAAAAAGTGTTCGCTCTTTTGAGTCTAAATTCAAAGTTTTTCTGTGAATTTTCATTTGAACTTATTATTTTCCTTCCTTTTCTCTTTTACTTTCTCTCAACTTTCCCATGTCACGCGCCAATAATTTTGTAAATGAATCTCCGAGGCAATCGGGCAAAAAAAGGGCAGTCTGGAGAAATTCGATCTCAACTACGCAATTTGTTTATTCAAATTTTTGAAAACTCTGGTCCTTTTGTGTTTCGATGTTCACTATAATTAGCAACAAAAAAAAGGTCTAAAGTTTCGATTTCCTTTTCCCCTTTAGCACCTGATCTTTGCTGAGTGTGAGAAACTTTTAAAGAAACTATAATTGCTAGTTGGAAAGTGAGAAATATCACTACTTTCAAAAAAGGTTATCCTTTGCAAAATGTCAAAGTTTATGACTTTGAGAGAACATTGAGAAGCTTTAAGATTAAAGCGGGGGTGGGACAAATGCGACCTCTTTTTTGCGCACCTGGACATTTGCGCACCTTTTTTTTTTTGCTGGAAAAGGCCTTAGGCAAGGTCGTAGAGCTTCAAAAATATTTCCATACAAGGGAATCGTATGCGTAGATTCCGAATTTCGACAAATCAGACCTCGCTGACACGTCAAATTTGGGCTAAAAGGCAAAAACTACGCAACTTAACGCTTTTCCGCAGTTTTTGCCTTTTAGCCCAAATTTGACGTGTCAGCGAGGTCTGATTTGTCGAAATTCGGAATCTACGCATACGATTCCCTCCTATGAAAACATTTTTGAAGCTCTACGACCTTTCCTAAGGCCTTTTCCAGCAAAAAAAAGGTGCGCAAATGTCCAGGTGCGCAAAAAAAAGGTCGCATTTGTTCCACCCCCATTAAAGCTATAAAAGTTAAGCTGAACTTTAGTTGATCTTTTGACTTTGCTATTTAAATCGAAATTTTATCGAATTATCCCAAGTTCTATTTACCAAAAGTCCCTCAATTTTCCCTATTTCTATTCATTCGAATAACGTTTGTTTATTGGTTTTCAAAGCAAAACACAGACTGAAAAAGAGTGTCTCTCAATGATTTGTGCTCTGTAGTGAGAGTATTGATTTGACACACAGCTTTTCTCTCAAACCGATCCCTTTTCTATTCATCCAATTCACTTTACGAGACAATTAAATGCTAATAGAAACTTTTGGAACATCTTAAAAGCAGATAAAAATCACTTTTGATAAATATAAATTTATATCTACAATGCTTTTTAAATTAAATAATATAATTCACGTAAGTATGTTCTTATTGTTTTTATCTTATTCTTTTTATCTTATTCTTTTTATCTTATTGTTTTAAATCTAAATCTATTTTGCTTTTGTGCAACACATTGTTTTGACATCTTTGAAGAATTCATTTAGCAAAACTATTTGTGAAACTTTATCTCTTAACATAATTGGATATTTATGTATTTTTCATCAATTTTTCTTTTTCCAACTGATCGTGAAGAGCTGCTTACTTTTCAACCTTTGATTCTTCTCTGTATAAAGATTCTTCTTATCACAAAGCATCTCTGAAAAAAATGCCAATTAGTGATGTGATTTTCGCTGACTTTTATCGATTAGGCTTTTTGCTAGCGAAAATTTCTTCAATTTTACTGATACACTTAAACGCTTTTAATTCAAATGAACAAAAAAATAGAGAAATAACTTGGTATGACGATCTTTTCTTCTTTTCTTCTTTTGCAGACTTTTCCAACTTCCTTTTACTAATTGTTTTGGTTTCTTCTTTAAAATTATTCAAAGAATTTGTGAAATTTGTCGTAACCAAAAGCTATTGTTTTGAAAATTCACTTCTTATTCATTCTAGGCTCACTGAACACCTCGTTTTAGGCTCACTGGCTCCTCACGATCCATTGAGCCCCTGGCCAATGTTGCCTCTTCAAGTCTCTTCTCTATTCTCATCAATATCTTCAACTATTTCATCTACAATTCCATCAACGGGAAAACAATGCTCGATTTGCGGTAGTTCTTCGCATGGACTCCACTTTGGGGCAATCAGCTGCCGAGCATGTGCCGCTTTCTTCAAGTACGTTTGATAAAAAGAACTTTAGTTGACACCAACTTTCTCTGTAAAAGTCAGAGAACTTTCTCTGACTCTAAGTCAGTCCATTTTGTGTAGTTCTATTGCTAGATTTGTGCTTAAAGCCAAAGCTCTCTAAGCCCAAAGCTCTAAGCCCAAATCTCTCTAGGCCAAAGCCAATCTTGAAACCGATTGCTTTAGGAGAAGTGTTGACATGCGACGGGTTTACAATTGTCGACGATCCGGTGGAAAGTGCGATCTAACATTGGGTGAGTTTACTTAAATGTGTAAATGTATTACTGGTTTTTTTCAGATGTGAGATGTATCTGCAGAGCGTGTCGCTTCTCAAAGTGTTTAGCAATGGGAATGAGTTTGGGTGGCAGAGGTGAGGCTTAAATAAACTGACTGTAAATGTTTCAGGAAACCTATCAATGATTTAGGCTCGCCGAGTGACACTCAATCGCCCAGTTCGAGCGGTGTTGTCGCCTCACCGCCCGACTCAGACACGTTCAGCGCTCAATTTGACACATTGACTCGAGTAGCCGATGCTCTCCATCGGCTACACCAAACGTTTTTGATAGAGACACCGGTAAACAAGTGATTCAAACTGTAACTGTTCGACAAATCATACTTTTTAATAGAATTGGCTAGACAATTTTAATCAATTAACAGAATTGGCTAGACAAGCTCACAATGAAAATTTCAGAAATTCTAGAAACAAATTCTTATTTCATTTCATTTTCTAATCTCTGCATTCAGCACATCAAACGCCCATTGAGTGTCACATTTGATTTGGTCACCGAATATAGTCAACAATATGTCGATCATCTACCCGCATTCATCAAAGCTCACTATCCATATAGTGAAGATTTTACGGAAAACGAGATGGTTTGTAAAATATTAGAATCTTAGAAATGTTTATATTTAACAATTTTAACGAAAAAATTTAGAATGAACTCTGTAAAAACTATGCAATAAAGTTCATCTTTTTCGAGAGTGGCTCACATTCAGCTGCAGCAAAGTCCTTTGATAAGTTGGTTTCTTGAACTTGAGATTCAATCAAGAAAGCTTTCCTTTTAGAAAAAACCAAATTTAGAATCGTTTTCCATGACGGAAATTACATTGACATAAACGATTTGGAGCACTATTTCTCGACGTTTAAAGTCGCTCAATTCACACCAAAAGACGCGGCAAGGTAAGCCGGGAAATCATTCAATCTCTGGCTGTTTAAATCTAGAAAGTCTTACCAATACTGGAACTAGAACTCTTTACTATACTGGAACATACTGGAACTCTTTTTGATTCTAAGAATTATTCTAAAATTAAATGGCTATTGATTTTCTATGATCACAGCCTATCAAACTTTTACTTTCTAGAGTTTACTTTTACTTTCATCATCCCTCATTTACTCGATTCTTTTATTTACTTTTAGTTGCTCTTTTGACTAGCCAAAAGTGATGAATTTTGGCATAGTTCATTTAAAATTATGACGATTATGGATTATGATTGTCAATTCAAACTTTGAACTTGAAGTTGACATGATTTTTAACAAGCAACAAACAATGAGAACGATTACCTAGCTGCCATAATTTGGAATTTTTCTGAAATCAGAAAACCAGGCTGACTGTAAACTAAAGCCAGCTAAAGAATCAAAATCAAAACTTAAAATAGCAATGCTTTGACTTTTTGAAAGAACTTTTACTTTCTAGAGTTCATCATCCCTCATTTACTCGATTCGTGAAAACCCTCACAAAACCGTTATCACTACTGGATATGAATGGTAAAAAAGATATTCAAATCATATCAAAAGCTAAATTTAAGATATTGAAAAAGCTGCTTTAATACTTTTGATCTTCTTCGAACCGGGAATCCCATCATTGACAAAAGAAACAGATGAGAAAGTGATGAGAGGAAGGGATTTAGCGTTGAAGTAAGTTCGACTTCTAAAAAAAGTTATCAGATTTAAGCAATTCAAAAAGTAAAGCTGTTAATCTATTCAACTTTAGAGAACTTACCATGTACTATAAGCAAACTGCAAGAAGTGCCGATTTTCCGATTCGAATGGCGAGGCTGATGATGGTGATACCGTGTCTAGAGGTGATTGATCAAAGCTTTTGAGTGAAGACAATAGGCATGAATGTTCAGCGTTTAGATAAGTGCTTTACTAGTTAAAGATTTGAAGATTTAGATTTAAACTCAAATGGAGAACTTATTTTCACTTTCAGAGAGTCGTTGACACATTCAAGGAAGATATGCGAATCAATAAATTATTTGGTGAAGTCAATGAGGAGAGTTTGCTGATGTTGGCTGGATTTTGAGATTATCTAAATGCCTATTTTATGCATTAAGCTCAGAAAAACCTCAATTCGATTAAACCATAAACTGTGATGCTCGTTTTTTTGTCTAGTTGTATAAAGTTTTTCACTACAGTATGCTGAAATAAAGGAATTATTTTGACAATCGAAAGAAGCAATGAGAAATTTCTTTAAAATAGAATCCAGACTGAAGAAGAGATGATCTTGAATTGTTTTTGATCTTGAATTGTTTATAGCAAAAATTGGTTTATGATAAGGATACTGTAAATTTGCTGAAATTGTATAAAACAAGAACAATTTGCTTTTTAATCATCGAAAAATTGTTTACTTTCTGGTAAATTATTAATTCTTAAATTTGGATCAACTTTAATCAAATGAATCGAGATCTTTAAAAGTTTATAATCAAATTAAAATAATCCTAATCTCTCCTTCAAATCCCGCAATCTACTTTCTAGCATGGTTTATGACAACGATACTGTAAATTTGCTGAAATTGTATAAAACAAGAACAATTTGCTTTCTAATCATCGAGAAATTGTTTACTTTCTGGTAAATTATTAACTCTTAAATTTGTATCAACTTTAATCAAATGAATCTAGATCTTTAAAAGTTTATAATCAAATCAAAATAATCCTAATCTCTCCTTCAAATTCTCCAATCTACTTTCTATTTAAATACACTATTTTTCTAGACAGCAATTTGTTATCTAAAAAGAAAATTCGAGCTCAGAAACTAATCTGGATACATTCAAGAATCTCTTCACACATAAGCACCTGCAAATTTAAATTGTTTAAATGCACCCTCTGCAAATTTAAAACCCCATTTTTGATGGTCATAATTAGCGTTTCTAAACGAAGAAGAATTCAATTCTTTGTGCAGATAACCGTGCAAGAATGGCGTTAATTCCTTCTCTCACATGACCGCTCATTGGCCGACGGGGATGATTAAAAATGGGAGGCGAATTTATAGCCGCAAAGAGATGGGGGAATTGAGGACGATCGGCCACACCAATTCACCCCCACGTTTATAAGAGGACAGCTAATTCCTCTTATAAACGGACGGACTCTAATGCTTCTTCGGAAAGCTTCAGAAGAAATAGAATTCTTCGTTTGAACACAGTAGGGCTTCTTTTGAATTGCCAATATTCTTGAAGCTTCTTGAGTTACAAGAATTGCAATATTCTTGAAGTCTTAAAGCCTCTGGTAGATAGATAACTATTGAATTTGTCAAACCTATTTTAAACAAACGATTTCATATGTTACCTTTTCTGTTGATTGACTCTTTCTTTGAACATTCTTCTTTCTTAGCCCATATTTATATTTGACTTCCCTATAAATATTTATTCCCATCACAAATCCAGCTTTATCTTTCTTCTTTATCTTTCCCCATCTTCAAGAACACTATCGTGAAATTTAATTGCCCGTTCGCATCTTCTCTTTAAACCAAAAATAGCTCCTCGTCATTTTTTCGTGAGCTATTTTCGAGCATTTCTTTCTTTCCACGTAATAATTAGCCTCAGATAGAGTGTCCCTGTGCAGTGAGGTGCTTCATTTGAGGAGTTGATCCCTCCTCTAGTTTCCCCTTTCATCAGCTACATCTTTCAAAATCTCTCATCACTTTCATCGAAAGGCTGCAATAGCTGAATTCATTCAAATTGCATGGGAATGAGGAGACTAGGAGGGATTTCTTTTCGAATTTACAACAGTGAACATCCATGAGCACTGATTGTTGATCACTCATCTCTTTAAAGAGTCCGTAATGAGATCGAGAATAATAAGTTGTTATTGCCGACATTACTCAGACGTCTAGTGTGCCTTTGCTAGGATTGACTGACACAAGCGTTTACTCTTTTTAGTATTCAAGCCTGATAAGTAGAAAGTTGAAGAGAATGTTGTTAAAGTTGACAAGTTTTGAAACATTCGGAGCTAAGAAACTGGTTAAACCCTTTTAAATTATCTGACCGTCATGGCTGAACGAGTAAAACGAGTTCCTGGTGTACTTTAGATTCAACATCTCCTTCTGAAGCAATTCAAAATCCCCTTGAACCTCCCTTTCTTCCTAGTGAATGTAAGATCTTAAGTCCAAGACATGCTCTTACACAAGACTAACGAATCTCCTAGTGATGTTTTCTAAATCTCGATCAAAATAAGAATATCACTTCTAGACATTTGCAAAATCCGAGCACCATTTACATGAAGCACAAAAAGCCGTATTAATTTCTTTTTTTCCCAGAGGAATCCGGTACTTTCCCAGAACTCATAAAGTTTTGCAGAAAAAGCGAGAAGCTCAAAAAGGTGAATGAGGGGATTTATGAATATTTGACTTTAAAATATTTCATTATTTGATTACATTTTGAATGGAAGAGTTCTTTTAAGAGTTGTTCCCTAATCTTCAATGTAAATTCAACTTAAAAACCAGACTGAAAAATGACAGATTTTATCTGATATTGATAATTTTATTGAACTATGGTTTCTCCATTTTTCAAATTCGTTCCGGAAATGCAAAAAGCACTCTAATTTGGCTTTTCCGTGTGGATTTAAAATTCAGTTTTCTAGTTTTTTCTAACTTTTTCTTGAGATGTTGCGTTGAAGTGTCAAAGATTTAGATCCTCGCGTGATTTCTCTCATTTTTGACTTCCTCAAGGATTAAGTAAAGCTTTTTAAAACCTAATTGGAAAGATGGCTGACAATGTGAATTGATTCTGGAGTACTGTAGTAAGAAATTCAAAATTTCAAACATCTTTAGCAAAGAACATTAACTAGTTAACTTTAAATTTAAAAAATTAACATTAACTTAACAAAGAACTTCTTACTTCTTACATTTTAAAACACCTTTCTCCACGTGTCATTCCTTATTTGGAATAATTTGGAATCGACTCCCCAGAGTTTTGAGAGAGTCCAATCGTCTCGAAACCTTTAAACTATCTGTAGATGATCTTGATCTTGGAGCTCTAGTGGATCCTTGACCTTATCTGTGCTACCTATATATTACGTGTATTATATCGTGTTGCTTTTTATCGACCCTTTTCGTGTTATATGTATGAATTCATGTGTTTTAATCTTAAATCTAGCGCACTTTATCTCAGGTCCTGAATAAAGTATCTATATATATGTTGTGTCCGATTTAGATTACAGTCTATATCGGACGTCCGATTTAGATTCAATCTAAATCGGACGGAAATCTAAATCGGACACAACATATATATATATTTTACAACACCTTTCTCCACGTGTCATTCCTTAGATAAAAAAGAAATTTTTCTTAGAATTCTTAGAAATTCATCGATGCATAAACGTAAATTTCTACTCTGCTGAGTAGACTGATGAGTCTATCCATTTAGATAGAAAAAGAGATCAATTCGATCAATCACTTGAGTCAAGTGAAAAGGACAAATTTATTCTCCCCTCCATTCATCTTCTTTTTCGTTTTTCTCATTCTTGATAGCTTTTAGTTGCTCTTTTGACTAGCCAAAAGTGATGAATTTTGGCATAGTTCATTTAAAATTATGACGATTATGGATTATGATTGTCAATTCAAACTTTGAACTTGAAGTTGACATGATTTTTAACAAGCAACAAACAATGAGAACGATTACCTAGCTGCCATAATTTGGATTGTTTCTGGAATCAGAAAACCAGGCTGACTGTAAACTAAAATCAGCTTAGAATCAAAATCAAAACTTAAAATAGCAATGCTTTGACTTTTTGAAAAGAATAGAAGGCTTTTTTCTTCAAAAAAGAATTATCTCTCAATGAAATCTTGACAGCTTATAAGCCGGATAGTGACTTTTTCTGCTATTTTGAAGATTTAAGGCTTATATACGGCTCTTTTATAAGTTTTCCAACTAACGATTGCCTTGAGTTGCCCTTTGAAAGTGATCTCCCCTCAATCCATCACAAATTTTATTCATCCATTCATCCATTCACCCATTTCCCTTCTTTTTTTCCACCTCCCACCACTTCTTTCTTTTTCTTTTCCTTTTTCTTATACTAATCATTATATCCATATTCATTTACTTTTCTATTTGATTCGCCAATTGCGTGTCCACTGATGAATAGACGCTTCTCTCATCCATCTAATCATTCATCAAACGGGAACTTCGTCAAACGCTTTTTCCCTTCTATAGAAATGTGTTCTGATAGTTGGGAAAAGAAGAGTATAGCAACTTTTTTGATTCTGTACAATGTAGTCGCTTTTTGTGGGTGATGTAAACTTTAGTCCAGCCTACAGAGCGCTTTTTAATCACAATTTGGCATCAAACACGGCTAGGTTGACTTTTCTTGTGAATATTTCAAACTCTAACCTGGCTCTGACTCATGATCTGCCTACAATACCAAAACAAAACCTCTTTGTGATACTAGATCAACCATTACAAACTATTATTATAATTGTAAGCATACTTACTGATAGAATCTTTTCACCGTTCTTGGACTAAGATTTTAATCACGATTCAGGATTAGACTTCCCACAGCTATGAAATAGAAGAAGAAGATTTTATTTTATAATATTAAAAATCCACTCAAGAAGATTTTATAATATTAAAAATCCATTTCACACTTTGTTGTTCAACTTTTTTCAAGCTTAACACCAAGATTGTGTGAATGCCATTCGTATCCTCTTTTCTTTTCCTTTGTGAAACTGAGCCGCTTAAATTGGACCAAGATTTTAATCACGATCCAGGATTAGACTTCCCACAGCTATGAAATAGAAGAAGATTTTATTTTATAATATTAAAAATCCACTCAAGAAGATTTTATAATATTAAAAATCCATTTCACACTTTGTTGTTCAACTTTTTTCAAGCTTAACACCAAGATTGTGTGAATGCCATTCGTATCCTCTTTTCTTTTCCTTTGTGAAACTGAGCCGCTTAAATTGGACCAAGATTTTAATCACGATCCAGGATTAGACTTCCCACAGCTATGAAATAGAAGAAGATTTTATTTTATAATATTAAAAATCCACTCAAGAAGATTTTATAATATTAAAAATCCATTTTAC